AAAGTAGGAGACTAAGACAAAATGGTTTCTTTGCATTAAAACTTGACATGAGTAAAGCATGCGATAAAGTTGAATAGCATTTCTTGAGATTTATGATGGAGAAACAAAGTTTTGAGTCTAAATATATTTCTCTTATCATGAGATGCATTACATCAGTATCTTACTCGATTATTGTTAATGGTTATGTTATTGACATGTTTTACCTAGAGAGAGGCCTTAGACAAGGAGATCCACTATCCTCATATTTATTTCTGGTATGTAGTAAGGGACTGTTAGCACTACTTGAAAAGGCCTAAAGGAATGGTTTAATCCATGGTGTCCAAGCCAGCTGTAATGGTCCTAGAATCAGTCACTTATTCTTCGCAGATGATAGTTTGCTTTTAGCTAAAGCAAACAGAAACGAGGGTGAAAGAGTGAAGCACATGCTACAAAGATATGAAGGTTAGGGATAAAAGATAAATTTCGATAAATCAATATTGTTTTTTAGCCATAGTTCAAATGGGGTCCAAAGAGAAGAGCTAAAGACCAGGTTTGGCATCAAAGCTATTGCATACCTTGAGAAGTACCTTGGATTACCATACATGGTGGGAAGAGGACGCTCCGTGGCATTTAGGGAAAAAAAAGACAGAATGAGAGCAAAGCTGCGTGCATGGGGCAATAGATGCCAATCACATTGTGGTAAGGAAGTTTATATAAAAAGCAGTTCTCCAAGCAACTCCCTCTTATGCTATGAATTTTTTTTATGCTTCTAAAATATTTGCGCAAGGGAATTAATAGCATTATCAATAACTAGTAGTGAAAACAAGGAGGAACAAAAGGTATGCATTGGCTAAAATGGAGGCAAGTATGCTTACTGAAGTTTAAAGGTGAGTTGGGTTTCAAAGAGATGGAAAAGTTCAACAATGCAGTGCTTGGTAAGCAAAGTTGGAGACTTTTCACAAAAACAAACACATTGGCATCCTAGGTCCTAAAGGCAAGATACTTCTCTAATGGCTCATTCATGGAAACAAGTCTAAGTCACAACCCTTCATTAACATGGAGAAGCATATGGAGTGCCAAAGGGATACTAGAAAAAGGGCTAAGGTGGTGAGTTGGCAATGGACAAAACATAAGAGTGTAGAAAGACAAATGGATCCCAACCTCAAACACATTTAAGATACAAGCGGAGGGAAGAGACATAGATGAAGAATATTGAGTCACGGAGCTAATTGATCGCCACACCAAGTGTTGGAAAAAAAAGGTAATCTATAGCACCTTTACGAAGGCTGAAGTGGACACCATATGTGCAATGCCTATCAGCAAAATGGGCACAGCAATCATGCAAGTATGGCATTTCAATAACAAAGGGATCTACACGGTAAGAAGTGGGTATAAGCTACTATGCTTTAAAGAAAAGGATGACAGGACTGAAGGCAACCCAGGAGAGGATAATGATTGAATGGTGTGGAAGCAGATATGGGATGTTGATGTACCAAACAAGATCGAAGTATTGCTTTGGCATGTCTAATACGGCATTCTCCCAACTATGCTAAACCTCCATAAACGAAATCTCAATATAGATAAAATGTGCTTCAGGTGTGGGGAGGAAAAGGAATCGGTCACTCATGCCATCACGAATTGCCCAAAGGCTACCGGTGTATGGAGGCAGATAAAATTTGATGTGGGTATAAGCAATAATTCATTAGAGGTTAACAAATGGATCCAACAAGCATGCAGCTTGATCACTCAATAACATCTACAGATTTTTATTACTTTGGGGGCTATATGGGGTGATAGAAACAAAGTGTTACATGAAGAAAATGAGAGAAATCTAAAAAAAAATGAAGGGTTTTATCAAACGCTATGTTGCAGAGTTCAACGCTACCCAAGTACGGCCTTTCAGGCTCATCACAATCGCACAAAGCTGGGATCCACCAAGTTCAGACGGGGTTAAAGTTAACTTCAATGGGGCACTAGACAACTAGAACAAAAATGAGGGACAGGGATAGTAATCAAGGATTCGTAAGGGATGGTGTTGCGAGCTGTGGCTATAAAGATAATGGATGTTAATGTCCCCTTTTAGGTGGAAGCACTACCAGCAGTGGAAGCACTAATCTTTGCACAAAAGATGGGTTTTACGAATGCGTTATTGGAAGGAGATAACCTAGTAGTTGTGAGAAAGTTGAAGCCAAGGCAACCAGACCTATTCCCCATCGATATTATCATAGAAGAAGGCAGACAAATGCTGTGTTTGTTTAGGGAAGCGAACGCAGTGCATGTCTTGAAACAAGGGAATATGGTGTCCCATACATTAGCAAAACATGGGATCCAAATCAGTGACAATGAATATTGGGTCGAGGACTATCGTAGCTTGCTTGATCAGTCTATACAAATGGATTGTAATTCCAACCAATGAATGAAAGTTGATACATTTCTTAAAAAAAAAAAAAAAATCACTCATATAAATGTTCAAATAAAAAACTTTAAATGAAGACAAATATAATTAATTACAATCCACTAAAAAAATCAAATAATTTATCAAATATCCAAAACTTTTAAGAAAAAAAAATTTTTCCTAGCCGTAGAATCAAATGTCATTTAAAAACTTTTAAAAATACCAGTTGAATGAGTTGTCATATAAATTATACCTATAAATAAAAAAATATTAGTATTATAAAATTAAAAGACAAAAAAATTATAATTAAAAATTATCTAATAAATTTGTGTTATATACTTATTGTATTAAATATTAAAAAGTTTGTAATCAGTATCCTCTCTCTTCCTATTTTCTCTTATTTTTCCCTTCACTCTTTCTCTTTATCCGTCCTTTTTTTTTTGTTTTTTAAAAATTTTTAAAAATATATTTGTTTTGTATCTAAACACACTTTTTATTTTTTTATTTTTTTTACTTCCAAAGACAAATGGCAAAAGTGCCTAACAAATGAATGAAATAAAGTTTTATTTCATAATAAATATAAAAGTAATTTTGGATAAATTTCGAATTATAATATTCAAAACTATCAATCACCGAAGATATAAAGTAAACAAATGGTTTAATATACATATATGTATATAATAGTTTTGAAGAATTAAAAAAAATCACATTTTGACGTTATATTTTAAACTTCTAAGTTAAGTATTTTTGAAGAATTAAAAGTTCACTTTTGCTTAATTTCATCTAAACTTTTAAATACCTAAAATATGGTAGGGCAAAGGAATTGAATCGATGATATGTATGGCATGTCATTTCTTTAGCATTGAATGCGTTGTTGGAGTGCCTATTTGGGCAAGGCTCATCTAAACGAGTACAATAAGTCCTCTTCTATAATGTAAAATGAGTTGTAAAAAGTATTGATTTATGCTTCAATCATTGATATCATCCAATTTCGCATCTATGGGTAATTTTTGAACAACTCATTTTAAATCTATAATCATTGAAAATTATTTCATTCAAGTTATAAAATTTAAAATCTCTACCACGGGATTAGAGTGTTATCATACGTTCTACTAAGATATATTTAAAAAATTAATAAATTTATATAAAAATAATAAGATATGTATCAATATTTTAACATTATTTATAAATAAAAAAATAAAATAATTTGTACTTGACAAATTTTAACTCACCATGATCTAATAAAGACAATTATTTTTTTAAATTAAAAATCGAGTTAAAGGCCGATAAAATATTTAAAAATATATAATTGAATTGAAAATAGATTTTAAAATATTTTGCTCCGAAAGATACATGAAATATATTTTATTATTTATTTAATATTTTTTCTATATATTAATAAAACTATTATTTAATATTTTAATTTAAAATATTAATTTAATAAAAATATTACATTTATATAAATTAAAATATAATTTATTTAAAAAATATTTTTATGACTATAATAATAAATTAAAATAATTAAACTAATTTTGAATTAGATGTAAATAAATTATGTATCAAATCAAAATCGAGTATAAAAAAAATCAAATCGAAAACGGATTTTAAAATATTCTACCTTAAGACGTACATGAAATATATTTTATTATTTATTTAATATTTTATTTATATATATTAATAAAATTATTATTTAATATTTTAATTTAAAATATTAATTTAATAAAAATATTGCATTTATATAAATTAATATATAATTTATTTTAAAAAATTTTTATAAATATAATAATAAATTAAAATAATTAAACTAATTTTGAATTAGATGTAAATAAATTATGTATCAAATCGAAATCGAGTATAATAAAATAATAATACAATATTAAATCAAATTAGGTATGAATGGGGCATTAAATATTCGAGTTAAAATCGGCATGGAACCGGGACGGGCTAAAGTCTGCCCGGAGTCTAAAAAACAAACAAACTAGATAATTCTTTCTCAACTTAATAAATTTCTATCAGGTCCACTCTTGAGAATGGACATATTATGTGCAATGATACCTTGACTGTGTTGGCTAACATATTTTACTTGGTCAAAATTTTAAGTATTGTAACAGAAATCATTATATACCTTAGTTTTTGCTAGTATTTGAATTTTCATTTCACTTCAAAGGAAGACAGCCAACGGCTCAAACTTGGAGGCCTTAGAGAAATTATAATGTTATTATAAGCATATATATATATACATATATATATATATATATATCCCCCCCAAAACTCTTACCTGTTTCGTAGAAAATTACATTTTTTTAATAACAAAAAAAAAAAATACAATAAACATGACACACTTTGCTCATCTTGCTTTGAATGTCATAAAATTAATATAAAGTAACTGACCATTGTTAATCAAGAAGAAAAGGGTTTGGTTATTATTAAGAATACACCTCAAACTTTATAAAGTTCCCCCTCTAGTCATGAAGTTTACTTATTCCTCAGACTTGAGACTTCGTAGTCATGCTTCTCAAATTCAAATTTAGAAGACAATATCAACAAAATGCATAATATTGATTAGGATATGCATAGTCATTGCAGCTATTCGAAAAGAACTCGTGTACCTTGTATAACCTTTAAAAATGGTTTCTTAATCCTTTCAACATTAGCATTCCTCAATGCTTTCCGTCTCGGCTTATCATGCTTACCCTTGCTGTTTCTTAGCCTTCTCAAATTCAAGCTTCCTTAATGTTGTTGAGCTTAGCTTACCTTGGCTAGACTCTTCAGAAACTAGATCTACAACTTCAATCTGAAGAAACTCCATGATATTATTTTCAGCCAACTCCTTATCATTTTCAAATAAGTCCCAATACAGAATTTGCTTCAACCTAAGATGATGCAGAAAAAATATATGTTATAACATGAAAATAAAAAGGGGAATTCTAACCTTTAATAGTGAAAGGCCCCTGTCAGCTCTCTTTCTATTGACTGATATTCCACCCAGTACTGTCTCCTTGCTGCAGAAAATTAAAACCAGTCAAAGCAAGAATGATACTACAACTACTTCCGTAGGCGATGATAGCGTACTATATCCCTTGGAGATTCAGCTTGCATTGACATACCCAGATCATTCTTTCAGTCAACAACAGAAATAAATCCCAATGGGCAAAACCATAAAGGAAAAGTAAAATTGCAAGGATCAGCAAAGCAATATGTGAAAAAAGGGAACAACTATCAAACCAAACACACACATGATCAAAGGCTCGAAAAGCCTACTAACATAACTAAATATAAACCTACTTTATTTTTCTAAACAAATTACTAAAAGGAAATGCTACATAGCCGTATCTTACAAGACAAAAAACATGGTAGTTAATAACAAACCTGACAACAATGGCATCTAAATTCTCATCAACAATTGAAGGGCCATATGGATCTGTAATTGGTTCAACTTGCACAACCAGCTCAGGTTTGATAGACTGCACATATAAAAATGAATTGAAGACTATTTAAAGAGAAGCAAAGAATTTTTGGCACACATTATACAGAAAAATCTCATGTTTAATTTTACAATAAATTGCATCTGAGGTTGCAGGAGTGATGGAATATATGTTATTCCGTTCCCTCTTAACTCTGATTTGAATAGATATGAAACTTTAGACAGAAGGTAATGCAGTGTCATCAAGCTGACACCCAACAAAGTTACAGGTAAGCTGGGAAACACATGAACCACTTGATACCCTCCATTTACATCCATAAAACTTTATGCGGCCTCACTTCAAGCTCACATAGGAAACCCAATGCCAGTTGAGTTACAATACTGTGTCAGTATGATCACAGAAATAAAATGGATACCCAATTAAACACATTTTTCTCGTTGAACATGCAAGATGTAACAAGATATTCCCTCATTATTACCTTTATGTAACTTTCCACATTATGCATCCTTTCCTCAATGGGCTGTATTAAATCAGAGAACTACAGAAACAGAGAAACAATATATCATACAATTTTGGAATTTCGGCAGCTTGACATAAACATAAAGCAGAATATCTTGATGTCTAAAATGGCAACCATTATCTCATGCACTAATAGAAGGTCTGAATATATATGACAATGATGCAAATTCACTTCAAGAGAGCTTTCACTTTTTGCTAGAATGCGATAACCATTTGCAATATACCTCTTCAAAAGGAACATAATAAAACAATAACTCAACCAACTCCTTACTAATGGTTTATCATCTTGCAAAAAGTTGAAATAAGTTTATCATCTTGCAACAAGTTGAAATACATGCATAATTTAACAATTAATGTTAAGGAAAAAATAGGTTCCACTGCTCATGACAACTCTTACTGAAGGGGGCTTTGCTATACGGACACTACTTTGAAGTTAAGCAATACTTCCTACTTTAAGACTGAAGGATCAATATTGTGTATAGCATCTGTTTGAGTTGACATGGAACAGAGAAATGATTGTTACCACGATGAGCAATGAACTGTTCAAAACTGAATTGTTTTTGTAATGCAATATTCACCTGCCTCCTAATTTTGGTTCCACAAATACCTTGACTCGGCTTAAAGGTAGAGCTTAGATAGACTATTACAAAATTGTCCAACTGCTTTGATATATAGCCTGTTAAAAGTCAGAGGAGTGGAGAGAGAATAAGAGTAATAAATTGTGTATATTTCATTTTATTGTTGCAGATACACGATCATTGTCTCAGATGGAGTAGCATCAGAGAGGCAGTCTACAGCAGGAACTTTTATACAATCTACAACAGAGTTCAGACTTATACTGTGATCGATTGTACCACAATTTTCTGTTCTGTCTCCTTTTGTATAGATTTCAGTTAAGCTAGATGAATTACTACTCTCATTTTCTGAAATTTTCTTAGAATGAAAAAATTCTATTATCAAAAGGAAAAGGACTAATACTACATATAATAGCAGTTTACTGTTATTATTAGGTTATTTAAACACAATCACATCTAATACACAACATAGTAATTACCTGTTTGTTTGTCAACATAGGGCCATCACAAACTCCGATCACAATCCGATCCCTTGCCAGCTCAGCTGATGACTGTTGACAATGCAATAATTCTTTAGAAATGTGATGTGTTCAGATGAAAGATTTGAAAGAAAAAGAAAACTGAAAAGGGTTAATGTGTAAATTGGCTCCTAAACTATATCATTTTTCAAGATTTGATAGCTATAGAAAAAAAATTCAGGATTTGATCTATTAAGCAATTTACAGCATTCACTATAAGTGTTACGTAAAATGATGAGGTGGCAGATATTGGCCAATAAAAATATGCAATGTATCATGATTTTATTTGCCAACTTCTTGACAGGTCAGCATATTATTAATAGAGTTGATGTCTGGGGTAAATGACATAATAGAATGAAAGTTTGGTACCAAATCATGAAAAGTGGTATAGATCAAGGGCCAAATTACATATTAATCCAATAGAAAATGCTTACTCTGAGGAAAAGGCGATGACCATCATGTAAGCGATCAAAGGTACCGCCGAGAACTACACTTCCATATGAATTTGGTGGAGAAATCTTTGAATTCACGACTGATTCCTCAAAAATTGCCATTCTGAATAGCAAAAACAAATATCAAAAACAAGAGAGAGATTTTCTTCTCTTTTTTTCTTCAGAAAATGGACAGAGCTTGGTGATCTTTTCCATTCCATTCCGAAGGCTAGAATTCTATTTTGCTTAGTAAAATTGCACCATTGCAAATTAAATTATAGCAAAAATAGTAAACAAATAAAAATAAATAAACACCACAAGTTTAGGATCCAAAGTCCAAATATATATGAAAGCAGGATACTAAAAAAGAAAATTTTTACCTTTTTCTTGGTCTTTTGCTATTTCCTTGCTCTATCAGATACCTGCAATTAAAAAGAATTAAAAACTGATAAAATTTTCTTTCCACCCAAACAGAAGGTAAAACCAAAGAGAAAAACAAGAGAAAGAGATTTTGGTTGTAGGGAAAGTGAGGAAAAATTAAAATTTTGGGAAGATGAAGGAGACCCAGAGAAATAGAGTGATAGAATTGTTACTCAATACTCGCTAAGCGAGTGAAGCGTTTGTTCGAAGCACACGTGCCACAGGAAAACCACACGTGTCAAATATGCAGCCGCTCTACTTGAAAAACAAAATTTTGTGTTTTTTTTTTTTAATCCTTCTTCGATTCGGTCCCAATTCTCATAAAATGAAAATTTTATTTTACTTTTAAATTTATAAAAAATTTAATAAAATTTTTATTTATTTAAAATTATCTTATTTTGATTATTTTATATGTAAAACAATCTAATTAACATTAAATGTTAACTAATGCTATATAAATTACTTCAATTAATATTTCACAAGTCAAAAATTAAAATAGAATTTTACTTAAAGTTTTATAATATAATTTATTAGTTAAATATTTTTTATTTTTAACTGAAAATAACTTTCAAAAAATTAAAATTAAATTAAACATATTAAAAATCTTTTTTCAAAAAAACAATTTCATATCATTTTAAAAATAAAAAATCTATTTTTATAAAAAATATTAAATATCTTCTTCTTTTTATAAAATTTATTTATAAAGAAGAAAAGGAAAACAAAAAGAAAAATAAAATAATTAAAGAAAAAATAAAAATATATTTTTATAAAATATTATAATTTAAATTAATCTTTTATTTTTATTATAATATGATTTATTAGTAAAATATTATTTTAAATAAAAAATAGTTTTTTTAAAAAATTAAAATTAAGAAATATTTTTAAACATATTTTTAAAAATTTCATACCATTTTAAAAATTTAAGTAAATGTTTCTACTTCATATTGGTTTAAAATTTCATATCATTTTAAAATATTAAGTAAAATTTTCATATCATTTTAAAAAATAAATTTATTAATATATTTTCTATAAAAAAATATATATTTTGAATCTATTTTCTATTAAAATTTTTAAATTTATATAAAATAAAAATATTATTTTTAACAATTCAATTTCCTCCTCTTACTAGATCAGCGAAGATAAAGGTTGTTATATTTTTTTATTTTTTATTTGTTATAAATATGAAATTTTAATGAAGAATATATTCAAAATATTTTTTAATAGAAAATTACGAATAGATTAATAAACTCATTTTTCAAAATGATATGAAAATTTTTACTCCATATTTCTTTTCTCTTAATATTGTTAAGAATTTTATCAAATTTTGTTTTTTAATATATAAAGCATGCAATTTTCCTTATGTTATATATTTATTTATAATTTTCTTGCTTACTTACTATAAAATTCTCTTTGTAGGCTAATGTTTCTTTAGTTGTTTTTGGAATAATACTTCTGTAATGTTTTCCATATATAATTGTTGTTCTAGAGCTATTTCTATTTAAACATTGCTAAATATTTACTTCGGTAGTAAGTATTGTTCTTCATATATGTAATTTTAAAATGTTTCAATACAACAAACTACTAAATATCATTTCACAATATCTTTATCATATTTGTCATCATGATTGAAATTGGAGACTATTGTGGTGGTCATTTGGTAGTATTCATGTCTATATAGCTTAATATCAATAGAAATATTTTGACAACATTTGTTAATGAAAATTTTGTTGACTTTTACAGGTTGTTGAATCTCTTGGGCATAGGGTACTTGAGTGGCAATCTGTACAAATAGATAACTCAAGATTGGGCAATGCTGCTTTACAAACAAAGTTTGTCGTTGGGCAAGTGTTTCTTACACCTAAACCTAGATCAAAGGTTGACCTTGATAACAAATAAGATTTTTTTTATTTGTGTTAACATTTAACAAATCACATTATCATTAATTTGCTAAAAAGAATAAAGCAAGATTATTTCTAGATTAGAGTACAAATCTGAAATTGAAGTTTTTCATAAAAATTAAGTAATAAGAGTAAAGTGCATCATGCATGATAAGTTGGTTATTTGTCCGATTAGATTCAACATAATAATTGTTTTATATATGTACATATTAAAGAAGGTTTCAATAGTTGCTATTTGAGCTATATTAAACCTCTAACATGGTGGGGCTAGGAATTTTTATATATGTTCTCATTCCTTATTTTTGTGGTTTAGAAAGTTAGGTTTTGTTATAAGAAACAATTAAAGTCTAACCAATAGCAAAAACTACTATTATGCAAACATTGGAAATGAAAAGTGTAAAAGCAAAAGTGTTTTAATGATGAATACAACATTGACATAACGCCATTTATAGGAAAACAAATGACATAATATCCAAAACTAAAAAAACAAACAACTATTAACCTTCCTTTTTGAAATTAAAAGGGAAAATTTCACACCCTTTACCCAAGTTTCTAACTCTATTCATTTTCTCTTGCTATCAAAATTGTATTTATTTCTTAATTACATGTTTAGTCACTAAAAAAATTAAACCGAAAACCCTTCTTATACTTAACAAACCCAAGAATAGAACAAATTATTCTAATTTGTAATAACTTTGTAATTGGTATAAGATCTTACTTTGCTACTTTATTTTTAGTTAGAAATGAATACTCTTCACATAATTTCATTTATCTTTTCTATGGAATTGTTACCAATGCAATATTTTACATAGCAATAAATTTAACTATATATGTTTGCATCAAATGTTATTTAGTATTTTACTTTTGATGTTGCATTATTTTTTTATTGCAACAATTAGATGCTTTAACGGATAAGATGAAGATAAAAGTTAATGAGAATTATGGATTAAGGTCACTTCTTAGGCTGATATATATGGTTGGAAAAAGCTTTAAAATTTTGATGGACGTGAAAGCTATTAACTACTAAGTATAATTAATCTTATCTTTTTACATTCTCTATTTATTTATGTGATGGCCATTTTCTTATTAGTTGCAATGAAATATAATTGTATTCATTATCTTAGAAATAAAAATCAAGCTACAAAGCTTGTTTTATAAGAGACTTTTCAACTTTTGCTATATAGAACCTAGCCAAAGGCTTCAAACTTCATATTAAATGGCTTATCTTAGAGGATGGTGAAATTTTCAAACATATTTGGAATCAATGGATTTGATTCATATTTGGGTAAGTCTTTAAAGTTTAAATGCATGGATATTACTATTTAAAAATTTTGGGTAACAATCCTAATAAGATTTATTTTTTTTTATCCACTCAATCTCACTCTCGAAGTTGAACTTTATTCATTAATAAACTTTTTAGAGTATCACTATTTGCTAACATAAGTTGTGTTTTATTTGCTTATGAATAAAATGATAATAACATTTGATTAGAAATCACAAGCATGATTTTCTAGTTTATATGATTTGAATCTAAAAATAAAGGTAGATAACTAAATTCATAAACATAAATTAATAATTACATTTGTTATTTTTAATATAACTTATTTGTAGTTGAAATATTAATCCATAGCATACTAGGTAGAGAAAGAATGTAAGATTGGACAACAAATTGATTTAACATTGCAAAAATGAGAGTAACAATGAACAAATAATATAAAATCTTTGGTTATAGGTGTCTAATTATTTGAAGTTGAAATTATATGATGAGTTTATTTGCTTTGAGAAATCAACAAGTTAGACAGACAAAAAGACTAACCAAGTCTTTTGGTACTATATTGAAAAAGTCAAACTACGAAGATGATATAATATAGAGGAAAAAGGAATTAATGATGTTGGCATAAATATCATACTATAAACAAATTAGTATGGTTAACAAATATCATACAATGAAGCAAGAGTTAAATCATGCACTCAGCCAAGTAACAACAATTTGGATATAGGTGTTTAATTATCTTTTTTGACATTTTTATAATCTTTTTTACTTATTGATTTTTATATTTTATGTTATATTATTGCATTAAAATATAATTAGAAAAAGTGTAATATTTTATATGTTAGTTTCTTTTAGTTTAGATGTAGCAAAAAATCTTGATACTCGGGTGTTGATACTCTTTTTATTATAAAACTTTATAACTTGTCTCTTACCATATAATTAATACTTAGTCATATTGTTGATTCAATAAATTAAACCAACCAAATCAATGGTTGGTTTGAAGTAAAGAGAATAAAAAATCAATAATGAATCCAACACGAAGTTTCAGCCTATGCTTTTTCATAGCTTGGTCAAACTTTCTCTTATTTTGTTCATGTGATTTGCTTGTTTTGATTGATGTATTTTGTTATGATTATGGTTGGATTGACTGTTACTTTCATGCTAGTTTACTTATTTTGATAAATTATGTTGGTTGTTTGATGAGTATGAATGATTTTAATATTTTTATTCGTAATAGTTTCTTACATAATTAATACATATCTTAGCTAAAGAAAATGATGGAATGATTGTGGGAAAACCATGGAAAGCTCTTGGCCTAACATCCTTGTTGTTTGGTCAAGACTTCCATCTTGACTTCTTGGCCAAAAAGTTGATGTTTCATGCATATTTGCTTTTGTTTTTAGTTAGAATTTTATGTTTTCTATGTGTTTGACAAATTTTTCAAAGAATAAAAGTGTTGAATGAGTGAATTTTTTAATAAATTTAACTTTGTTTGTCATATGTTTGTTTTGAATGAAAAAGTGGATATATAGTCATATATGTTTGGCCAACACAAGGAATGCTCAAATGACCATAAAGGTTTCAATTTTAGCATTGTTCATGGCTTGGTCGAACCTTGTACTTTCCTTGACCCTTGATGTTTGATTTTCTTTTTGTTAAGTTTTTGCATGCATAATTGGTTAAGAGACGATCTATAAGTGTATAGAATCGTATAAGTGCTATAATAATAAAAAAAAAGTATTGTTCCCTTAGAAATTATGTATATGATATCACAAATACCAAAATTGCATCCATCAAACTTAGATAAATCAAATCAAAGATAATGTAAACTAATCAAATAAAACCTAAAACATACAATATTAATATAAACCAAATTCAAATTAAACTAAACAATATGTAAATAACTCAAAATAATCAAAATTGAAATTATAATACACATATAATGTTAAACTGTAACCAAATAAACATGAATCATTTAAATTGA